GGTTGTTATTCTTTCTTTTAGCTCTCTGCGAAATCTTCTTAAGATCTTAAACACATTTGTTCTAATTTTTAAGATTGCTCTATTATTTTCATTTCATCCAGAGGGACTGTATGTCCAAATCTTTAATTTTTTTCTTGGTTATCTTTTCAGTTACAATATTTCTGATGTACTTTGGAATTTGGGTTTTCGAGCTCATTTTGATGCAAGGTTTTTTCTCACATGTTCTTTGCTTGTTTTTTATGCTCTCTCTTTGTATTTACCTCTCCCGGTGATGTCCTTCCTAGACCATTGGGAATCCCAACCCAGAAGGAGGTCATGCTTAGGTGGCTCAGGGCTTAGTCAGGTATGACACCAGGGCAAATGCAGTTCCAGGCACCGTGTCAGTCAGGGGGCAGATTGGCACAAGTCCTGGGTGTGAGGCAGTCTTACTTTCCCCCTCATCCTGGTTCAGTTACTTGACATAAGCTGTAACCCCAGTTGTTGATCAAAGCCTTCTTTTTTTCCTTTCACAGGCTGGGGAGCCCCCAACTCTGGGCCTTTATGTCGAGCAACGGCCTGGGTTCTGGTCCCTTGTTCTTCTTAGCGCTGCAGGAGCTATAACTGTAGCCTTCTCCCCACCTTCCTTTCCAGGAGCTCACCAGGCCCCCTTCCATCCCATTGTCTTTCCACCCAAGTTACTGCTATTGTTTCTGAGCAATGCTCTATCTTTTTACCTTCTTTCTTTATATTGTAACTGTCACTTTTCTGTGTTTGGAGTATAAGGGACAAAAAGGTCTCAATGATTAATAGTACCAACAAAAATTTTGGGTGGTATTTCTTTTTTAATCAAAAAGGGCAAAAGTAGAAGATTATTTCTGCCTAAAGTAAGTCAGCTTTTCTGCAAATATAATTAAAACCGAGGGACTCGTCTTATTTGTTGCTGTATCTCCAGCTCCTGGATTGTACTGAGCATACAGTAGGAGCTTAATAAACACTTGTCAACTAGTGAATTGCTGTTCATCCCTGAGTTAGTGAGGCCAGGAAGAGGGAAGGAAGAGTGGCACATAAAACAAGCACAGGACGGTGTGATGGTGTCTGTGACTCATCCATAGTCTGGCAGAAGTGACTTTGCACATACACAGTACAACACACAGGCAAAGACGGTATGCAGTGATTTTCCCGACTGGATCGTGCCCAGTACAAGTCTACGGTATCAGAGAAATTTGCAAGGTATCTTTAGCCATAAGTTTGAGTGACAGGTAGAGCAGGGGAAGATGTAAATAATTGCTACAGATTTTAAACTTGTGAGAACGGTGGCATAAGGAAGGGGAGAATTATTAGCTGTTTCATTTACTCTATTTAGTTTCCTGCAGACAGAAGGATGTGGTCACAGCTTTGGGGAAATGGTTTGCATCTTGCGAAATAGTGCCAAGGTCACTGGAGTGGGCAGTAAATGCTAGAGATTAATTTTCCAGAACTACTTCTTTATTAAATATGTAATTTCAGAATGTAGAAAACTTGCTTACAGACCTGGGTGAACGCATAACATCACAATTCTTTTCAGAAGAAAGACTTTTTTTTAATAAGCAATGTCTCCATGGTAACCATAAAGGCAAATCTCACTTTGTGTGTATTATATCAACACCAATAACAGCTGGGACAGGCTGAACAAAAATGGCAGGGGAGCAGAAGCTGGGGAATTTTGAGAGAGAGTGAGGGAATAAAATGACAGCCCAAAGCAGAAGCTGAGTAACTCGAGACTGCCTTGATTCATTGGCACTGTGTTTGAGAAATCAGAATTTGAAACTTATTTTTTTTTTCAAAGATACTTCCCCTTCATCCTGTTCAAATCAAATGTGGGACAAACTATTCTGCCATTTTTTCCAAGAAAAATAAATGACTTGAATTATGTATATTTTTAAAATCAGTGTGCCTTCACAAATAGGGACATATTTTAAAAATTGACGTCTTTGTCAAGAGCCATACAAAGAAAATGAAAACCAGACATATATGCCCAGGCTCAGATAGTGAATTAACGCAAGAGGAAAGTGTACCATTAAGGGATTTCTTTTCCCTCTTCAAAAAAACACTGCCTAGTGTGCATCCATATAGCACAAAGATGCGAGATCATTGGATCACCTGTTAGCGGACTAACTACCAGCAGGCAAAGCAATGCACCAAGGAGGGAGGGAGAACAATGCTAATTAGGATAATAGGATGATCGACAAGAATTTTTAGTTACACTTTTTATTTTGAGATAATTGTGGAGTCACATGCAGATGTGAAAAATGATACAGAGATCCCATGTGCCATTTATTCAGTTCCCTCCAAGGGCGACATCTTGCAAAAATATGGGACAATATCACAAGCAGATACTGACATGATGCCATCACAGACCTTGTCCAGATTTCTCCAGGTCACTTATAGGTAGGTATGTGCATGCGCGTGTGGGTGTGCGTGGGTGTGTATTTAGTGCTTTGTATTTTCATCACCTGTGTAGATTGTGTATCTACCACCACAGTAATGAAACGAAATCGTCCCATCACCTCAAGGACCCCGGGTATTGCCACATCTACCGCCTTCCCGCCTAGCGTTCTTGTCCCTTACGGCTGACAACCACTAAGCAGCAGTTCGTTTGTATAATTTTTGCTGTTTCAAAAATGTTGTGTAACTAAAATCAATACCTAACCTGTTAGGAATGGCTTTCTCCACTCGGCATAATTTATCTGAGACCTATCCAAGCTGTTGTGTGTATCAACAGTTCGTTCCTTTTTATTGCTGAGTAGTATTCCATGGTATGAATGTACCAGCTTGTTTGACCATTCACCTGCTGAAGGACATTTGGGTTGTTTCCAGTTTGGGGTTATTAGCAGTAAGGCCACCAGGAACATTTGTGTGTAGGCTTTTGCATGAACGTTTTCATTTCTCTGGGCTACATGCCCAAGAGAGCAATTACTGGTCATATGGTAATTGCATGTTTAGTTTTATAAGAAGTTGCCCAACAGTTTGCAAGAGTGTCCACCATTTTACATTCCCACCAGCAACATGTGAGTGATCCTTTCTGACATAATTTTAACAAGCTAATTAAAATTACTATTGTCTCACCACAGTCATGGAATTAAGACCTTTGGCTGTTGCCAGAATTTTATGCTCAGTCTACCTGGGTTCAGATCCTGGCTCTGCCACGTGATAGCTATGTGATCTCAGATAAGTTATTCCTGTGCCCAGCCTCAGTTTCTCCATCTGTAGAATGGGAACAATAATAGACCTGTCTCATAAGCATGTTATGGAAGTATAATAATAATAATTATTGTTTGATTATTATTCTTTACAATTGTAAAGAGGTATAAAGAAGTATATATGAGGTTAATGAAAACACCACATATTTTATTATGACATTCTGAAATTGTCAGTATAAAAAAAGTTTCTGAGAATGTCTCTAAGCTGTGGTATAGCAATGGTTTTACATGTAAATCCTTTCACATTTCAAATTTATTACATCAGTGAAATAGTGATCACAGTGAAATAGTGGCAAAATAGCTGTTTTGAAACATAGGAAAGTAACAGAACTACCCCTCCAAAGTCACACAATTGGTAAAGCACACTTTCATAAGCCTGAGGAACGAGAAGTTCAATTTTATTGCAAGTTGATGGGATGGGAAGCGCGGTGGCTCCAACGATCAAATGGAAGCAATGGAAGATGGCGCCATGCCTGGCGGGCACCAGGGGTCACCTCCTCCCCGCCTCAGTCACTGCTTCTAGAGAAAGGTAAGAAGAATGAAGCGTTTACTTTTTAAATCTTCTATCAAAAAGCAAATCATTTCAAAGGAAATGATAGTGAGCAGAATCCTTTATCCTGAAAGGAGCTGTCATTTCAGCTTGTTTTATTTTGTTTCTGTGTGTATTTGCTGAGATAGAATACAATGCAAATAGCTATACCTTTCAAGTCTTGCTATATAAATTTAATCCAAATAATTTCATACTTATTAAAATCAACACCCCAGTTAGCTCTGAAAATGTTTCTATTGTTTTCATCTTTTATTTGAATTTTTCAAATAAGCTACTTTCATTTTTAATTTCACTTCAATTTGAAGCGTTCTTTGCTTTTGTTTGTTTTTACTTACTTGGATTTGGTTTCCAAAAAGTTAAGGTAGAGAGCTAAAAAGTTAAGGTAGATTAATTTATGGGGGCAATACATTTGATAATTGGAACTTGCAACTCAGTGTGGAAAATTCACGTTTGTCAGGAACTACCTTAGCGTGACACAGGAAGAACAGCGTGAATTTGGATTAACATCTGTATCACACGTAAAAATATGAGAGCACCACTGTGAGTGGACAGCGAGCCCAGTGTGCACGGCCCCTGTGTGCTGACGTGTGGCTCCCCTGTTTTTCTATTCGTGTCACAGAGCATTTGAGAAAGCTCCCAAAGCTCACTGTTTAACAGTCTGTTAAATTGTGGCTCCCATGAAGTGGTAAGCAAGGTTTCAATTTTCTCGTCTTTTTTATTGTTCTTTCTATGGAATTTAGCTCCTGCTTGTCTCAATTGAAAGCTCGCCAAATACGTTTTGTTAGACTTTTCTTTCAATATACTATTTGTTGATTCTTTAAAATGCAGGATTAGCTCCCTGGTTTATTAAAATAAGACTCATTTTCATATTAATCCTCTATTGCAATAGTGTTTAAGCAAACTAGTTCTGATTATTTCTTATATTCCACTTATAGGTTTTAATTAAAATATTTTCAACTGCAAGTAACAGAAAAATCATCTCTAAATGGCTTTTAAAAGGTGATTCTTTTTTTTTTTTTTAAGATTGGCACCTGGGCTAACAACTGCTACCAATCTTTTTTTTTTTTTTTCTGCTTTATCTCCCCAAAACTCCCCGGTACATAGTTGTATATCTTAGTTGTAGGTCATTCTAGTTGTGGCATGTGGGACGCCGCCTCAGCGGGACCCGACGAGCGGTGCCATGTCCACACCCAGGATCTGAATGGGCGAAATCCTGAGCCGCTGCAGCCGAGTGCGCGAACTTAACCACTCAGCCACGGGGCCAGCTCCCAAAAGGCGGTTCCTTAGTATCCATATAACAAGAAGTTTAAAGTGGGATGGCTTCTGGTTGGTTAGCTTAGTGGCTCCACAATGGCATAAATGCTCATCTTCACACCTGTTCACTTTGCCACCCTTGACCTGCCAGCTCCTTCCCCTCAAGGTCGCAAGATGACTATAGCAACTCCTGGCATCGAATTTTCAGAAACCAATGTCAAGAGGCAAAAAAGGGAGCATTTCTCTCTTATATATATATATTTTTTTTGTCCAGGATGAGAAATTTTTCTAGAAGTCTTCTTCTCAGTCTCATTGGCCATAAATGGGTTATATGCCCAACCTTAAATCAATTCCTTGGTGCCTGGCAATGGTACCAAAGTGACAAGCTTTAGGCAATTATGAAAGATGGATGGAAAACATTAGGCCATGGAGAAGCCACCAAAAGAAAAAAAAATTAGAAAACAAACAAAAACCGCTCATGTCTAACATATTATTATGGGTTTTAAAGCCAAAAAGCTTGGATGAGCTTTATGACTATATAAACTAAACCACTGAGCCTCGGTTTTTTTAACCCGTCCAATTGCCGTCTTTATGAAGATTACATAAATTAATGTATGAATAAGATACCTAGCTCATGAGAGATGCAAATATGTTAATCTCCTCCTCCTTCCCCAGCAAATGTGCAAAATAAAAATAGATAAATTAGCAGACGAGACCAAATAATGGAAACTTTAGAGCTTTGAATACCGTAGATTTTCTGATATTCCATTTCAAATTCTGCATAGAACTCCTAACACGATTCTGAGGAATCTACAGCAATGACAATGCCTTAGTGCGAACAATTCTAATTTTGTTATTTAAAATGACTTGTAAAAGTTGCATCTTCCTTCTAAAAAGTGTAAGTACATGCAGTATATCCACAGAGCAAGATATATATAGTCTCTGAAATCCTGTAACTTTTGTCTCCATTTATTCATTTTGTTTCAAAGAGATTCACATAAAGTTTATGCGGTTTGTAGATGTCCTTCTAGATGCTGGGGATTGAACAAAAACCGACAGGCAAAAGTCCCTGTTCCCCCAAAATCACCTCCGAATTCTCGCTTATAACAGTGAGTATTGATTTCCCTAGTAAGTTTCAAACTAATGCCTTACTCCTGAAACTCCACTGTTGGATTATACTCACTTTTCCTGTGCAGGAAATACCAAGTCAAGAAAATCCCAACTCTTCTAATTGTCTTCCTCCACTTGATCACTAGATGGCGCCGAAGGAATCCATTTCCCTCCCATTGAGGGAGAAAAAGCGTGAAAAAATAGAATAGCAACTCTTGACAGTGCAAAAGGGACAAGGTCTCTGCTGTCAGTTCAATTCCTCTTTACTTATTTGTTCTTTGGGCAAAGATGCTCAAATGTTTTGCATTATCACTGGCACTCACAGTAAATTTTAAAAATAGTCTTTTCAAGTCCACTACAATTCTGTAAGGGCCTGGCCCGCACAATCAGTCCTTTCTAGTCCTTCGTTTTCTACAACGGCAGCAATTTATTCTGCCCTTCTCTCATTCTGAGACGTGCCCTGCTCTGCTTCTTCAGAAACACTGGGGTCATTCTCTTCTCTCGAGCACTAAGGAATGAGCAAACGTCACTCCTCGGCTCCCTGCTGGACATTCGGCAGCAACTTGCTGTCAAAGCAAGTCCTGAGATCTCCCCCATTGGACTCTGCCTTCCAGCCATTTGGAGTTTTCACAACACTGATATCTCCTTTAGGTGTTTATACCATGATGAAATCTAGGGAACCAAAATATGTGTGTTCACGCTCATGAAAAAAACATTCATCATTTCCCAAGCTCTGTTTAGGGAAGGGGGAAAAAAAACATTGGAAGGAGAAATCAATTTGGCCATGAGTCAAATTCCAACCAAAGAATTACACAACCCTTTTTCTCCTCTGTCTTCTGTACTAAAACTTGGGGAAACTCCTCGGTCCAGATAATCAGAAGAGGAGTAACTGATTGATGATTCGTTGAAATTATTTTTGTAGCTGTTGTCTTGAAATAAGTGTATTTATTTACGTGTGCGTGAATGCATGTGCACACACATAGATATGCATATAAAATCTCTCTTTGTCACCTCCACCCAGTGTCACAGTCACTCAACTGTGGGAACAGGGCTCTTCATGGGCCCCAGCTTTTCAGAACTTGAACCAGGGTCTTTGATCCATTTTCCTACAGTCGTTTGTCTTTCCCAAGGATTACGCCCTGAGCTGAAAGTTCACCCTTTCCCTGTTGTACCTGAACTGCGATGAAGGATGTTTTCACAGACACAGTCTTCCTTGGACGCTGATGTTGTTTCTCCTGCTGCTTCTAAATAGCTCAGCCTTGCGTGCGTGAGGTGCAGGCAGAGTTTTCATCCCCATTTATTTTACAAACTCAACGCACCCTACATTTTTTGTTTCCTTTTATTTATTTATGTTATCCATAATAACCCCTGGAGACCGGGGGATAGGCTCGCCCTCGGGTTTTGAACTTGTTTCTTTGGTTTCTTCTTCTCCCTCTTCCATTTATTAGACAAGGTATTAGGTGCCCAGAGAGGCGACCACAATGCTTTGTTAAGACACACCTTCAGAAAGAAGCTTTTCTACGGAGCAAATGTGACCGACTCCACCATCTTCCGTCTCCTTCCCTAAGCAGTTAGAGGGAGCCCTCCATGACCACAGACTGGAAGGCTTAGCATCCAAAAAGCAAGGGCCTGTTTTTACTCAGAAAAGTCAGAGAAGTGTAGATACTCCTCGCTGGAAGACATATGGACTCGTATATGGCACCGATTGTCAACCTGGCTGTGCAACAGGACCCCTGGGGAGTTACACATTTCTAGCTCAACCCCAGATTACTGGCTCATAATTTCCAAAGATGGGCCTGGGAATTTGCACTTTTCAAAGCAATCTTCCATTTCACTGCAGGCAATCTGACCCAAGGTCCTGGATTGCATTCAAGAAAGGTGAGTCTGGACGCTTGAATTACGATCGCTGGTAAGTTTGAATCTGTCGTACAGTCATTGCGTGGTGGCCAGGCGTTCCTCTTGTGCATGGGGAAGTGTCAAGCATGATGCTGAGAATGCTCATGAACACAGTCACTCGCCTGTGTGACCTGCGACAAATGAATTAATTTTGTTTGCCTCAGTTTCCTTATCTGCAAAATGGGGCTGATGGTCACAACCTCCTCCTAGTGTTGTCATAAGGATTGAATAAATGAGTACATGTAAAGCATTTAGAATAGTGACTGGCATTGAGTACACGCTCAAAAAATGATGTTTTTGGTTTATCATGTTATTTATTACTGAGAAAACAAAACTTGTGAAAAAGAGATTATTATTCTAATCTAAGATAAGAAAACTGAAGCGCATACAAATTAAACATCTTATCCAAGGTAACAGAGCTGGTAAATATTAGAACTGAGATTAAATCCAGACCACATGACTTCAAGCCAATCGTCCTTAAGAAGCTCCTTGAATACCTCAAGTGATGGCTGAAATGACTACTTCCAATGGCAAGAATTTTTATCGTTGGATGCTTCTGACAAATAATAGCAGCACTATGATTATGATTTATGAAGCAACTACTGAGCCACCATTTGTTGACTCCTTATTAATAGCAGTCGCTATACTCAGCATTTTGCATACGTTGACTCATTCGATCATAAGAACCTGAAAGTTAGGTGTTATTTTCCCTCCTTATCAGACGGGGAAGTTGAGTCCGTGGTTAAATTTCTTGCCAAGCACATGTAATCAGTGTGTGGTGGAAGAGGTATTTGAACTCCATCACCTGTGTATTTAACCACTTTCTTGAGCCTCAGTTCACTGCCTCTGGTTTTCCTTAAGGTGCTACGGAATAGAACATTTAGTTCCCTGCATCAAGTTAGTCTTTTGGACATTTGGGAAAAAAAATGAAGTCTTGTCATTTCCTAGGTTAACCATCCAAGTTCCTTCAAAGAATCCAGGCAGTGGACATGACCTCATTTTGAAAACTTTCACCACTGAATTCACTCTTCTCTAAGACGCCATCAGTGTCTCGGGCACTCCAGCTGTGATGTCCTGACCTGCATCAGAGAAGGTCAGGTAGCAGGAGCCCACTCGAGCTTCCACCCACAGGCAAGAGGTGTTTCTAAATAGGTCGACAGAGAAGACCCACTATCATTTTAGTGTGGTCGGTTTTGTTTTTTTAAAAGCCAACATTATAAAAGAGGTTTTAATCTGCTTTTCTTTTTTAACTATTTCTCCCTTTGCGGCCTAAAGGTAACCTGAGGCTAACCAAAAAATTAATATTTGAAATGTTTGTGCTAATTTATTCACAATAAATATTTTATTCACAAGCAGTATTTTCTTCAACCTTAAGTTTCTGAACTAGCAAAACAAGTCATTTTTAAAAGAGGGGATACAGCTTGCATCCAGATGGGCTGTTGGCAACTGAAGACGGTCCCAGTGGATCGGTGGTTTTGTGATGGATCAGAAACCTGTTTCTACTCTTACCTGATACCCATCTGTACCGAGAAATGCCACAACATGCAGCTAATATAAACCCCACCATTTAGGATTACATTTTGTTGAGTTCCCTTTATTTATTGAGGACAAAAAGTTTAATGTCAACATTCTGTGACTTTTGTTTCTCGGGGGTAAGTGGTTGCTGCTCAGACAGTTTCCCTTAGCCTGTGTAAATTCTCTTAATTAAAGATTTTGTGTTGTATATAATGGAAAGAAAAATCTTAATAGGCATAATAATGTAGTCTTCCTTTTAAAATTTAAGCTTTATTATTTTTAAATCATACGGAATTGACTCAAATTGCTTTAGAAATTGTCATATTATTAATCAGGAAGAAATGCTCCATAGCTGAAAACAAATGGAGTCATATTGGGAAGCTGGTGAGATGTTTGGGGGAAAAAACAGATACTGGGATGGATCCGGAGATTTCTCAGATTCTTTCCTACGACCCCGTTCCAAGATGATCAGAAGGACTGGATGCAGGGAACCAGCTGGTCCTGGTTACCTTTTCATGAGGATTCCTACCCATCGGTGAGAAAAACACGTCCCCTGATATGAGCAGTGAAAAAACCCTACTTAGTGGAACTGTTGTTTCGTCTCCACACCTTGTCTGGACTGACTTCAAAATATCGCTAAATAATAAACTCTAAGTTACTAATAGAAAATACCCAGAGTTTCTAGAACATGCTTCGGAATTAAGGATTAATAGCCCAGGTTCTGGCAATAATCTTTCTGTTTCTTTGATATTTGAACTTAACGTTTGTTTTAGATTTGTTTAAAGATTGTTTTTGTAGTAGAAACTCCAGGCTCTTTGATCATTTCCTACCCTACTGGTCGACTTTTGAGTTACCATCTTGACATCTAGTCGTTCAAATGCTTCTTACCAACAGTACCCAGATATTCCTTTGACGAATTCAGTCAATTTCTAGTTTCTCCCTTTGACCCAGCAGCACCAGGGATGGATCCTGATTGATCAATATTTCCCAGCACCAAATCCGCCCCCTCGACACAGAGCGATTAGTTCAGGGAGAAACACGTGGCCCAAAAACAGCCAGTGAGAGAGAGGGAGTCCCAGCCCTCCTGTGGGGACCACCGGCCACTCAACAGCAAGGAGACAGGAGGCCCCGGGGGAGAGTCGGAGCTACCAGGAGGCACCGTGTGGCTACGCTTGAGGAAACACAGAGGAGAAATGGAAATTGGCGAATGGGGATGTGAGCTAGGCTTGGGACCAAGCTCAGCTTCTACATCCACCTCTAGACTTAGTTACGTGACCCGGCACATTCATTTTATTGCTTAAGTCCCCTGCAGTCAGGTTTTCCATAGCTTGTAAATAACTCAACTTTCCTGAGCCTCAGTTTCTTACCGGTAAAGGGAGGTTAATATTATCCAGCTCATTAGGTGTCGTGATGATTAAAGCGGGTGACATCCGTGAAGCACCCGGTATGTGCTGTGAATTCGGCAGCCAGTCTGTTTCCTTTTCTTTTCCTCCTCTGAGGATGGATGAGTCAGCCCAGCGCTCCGAGACCTGGGGAGTTTTCAGAGCAGGGAGTGGCGTAGGGCGAGGACTGAGGCCCTGACAGAGCCACAGTGCCCCACGGCTTTCCCCGGGCTGACTCTGCCCCATGCCTGTCCCGGGCTCTGGCAGGCAGCCGCGCTGGGGTCCGTCTGGTGGAGATGCTCACTGTTCCTCAGGGTCAGTGGTGAAACAAGTGGCCAAACTAAATTTGTCTAAGAAGCACATTGCAGAGGGGCCACATTTAAACACCAGGGGGTATTCTGCTTTCCTAGGATATAAAGCTTATTCAAGACAATAAATCTTGAGTGCAGATATTTAAAAATGACTCTTGTCTTTGAAGGAAAAATTCTAGAGAAGTACAGACTAGGAAGACGCCCAGTCTAAACTGGGTTCAACAGGTGCATTCACCCGTGAGGTAGTTTTTTCATTTGATTATACAATCCTGGAACAGGAAGGGTGGAGCTATTCCAAACCCTTACGCGACAGATGAGACAGCGGAGGCCCAGCCAGGCGAGGGGACTGGCTCAAGCCCCCCGACCAGCCTCAGGCAGAGCCGGCTCCGAGTCACAGCCGGTGTTCTGTAAACGGAGTGTGACTTCCCAGCCCCCGCCCAGCAGACTCTGCTCCACTTTCCGTCTCCAGCCGAGGGTCTGGCAGGCACAGAAACACCCAACAAGTCTAACGAGCATGGCCGGCGCCTTTGTCACCTGTGAGTCAGCATCAGCTCCCACCGACACATCTCTGCATTGCTGCGCATGGACCGAGCGAGCGGTGTGACAGGTCCGGCCGATGACTAGAACGGGGTGGTTTCACCATCTCGGCACTGCTCGAGTTCTGGCTGGAAAATCCTTTGTTTAGGGCAGACGGGAAGGGGAGGCGCCCTGTGGGATGCTCGGCAGTGGCCTCTTCCCACTAGATGCCAGCAGCACCGCTTCAGTTTCGACAACGGGAGAGGTCCCCAGAATCTGTCAAATGTCCCGGGGGTGGGGACTCTCCTATTGAGAACCACTACTGGAGAGAAAAACCATTTCTCGCAGTGAGTCTTCAATGTAGGGAGCGGAGAGCTCGGACGTAAGGTGTGAAGTATGCTTGGGATTTGGAGTACATCTTTTCAGGCAAACTAGAAAACTGTCAGACCTCTACAGGCAGCCTTTATTTCTTTACCTGTAGTGTGCTATGATGAAAGCAAAGACTAACCCTAAAAGGGTCTGACACCTTGTTAGTGCGACAATAGGAAATTATATGTTAAATAAGAAAAAAAATTAAGTGGAAATGTAACTCTTTAATGCAAGGGAACGGCCATAGGGAGTCCATGGCAAGTAAGGGATTGAAAATTGCACACACAGACCATATTCCTCCAAACACCTGCTCCTGCCTTTCTTGGGGGTCCTTACAGAAGAGGCACGTGACCCCTGAGGGCCCTGCCAGACTGCATGGTGCGGTGGGTGCAGGATTCTAAGGCGGAAGCTGGGATAAACCGGCAGATAACAATGAGATGCAGACGTGCGGCAAAAAGAAACAGGAGAGGAAGCAGGAGAAAAATACAAAGAGGGATTAGGTACAAAGTAAACTTGCCAGAGGATTCCAGCCCAAGGCCCAGAAAAAAACACTTTCTAAAAGTTAGATTTTCTCAGCATGGATTATTTTTATAGAACTTATTTAAAATATTTCTCTTTTAGAAAGTTTTGCATCAAAACAGCAATTGTGCTGCTGTGGTTCAGAATTCTTAACTATGCCAAATTAACGTTATTAAATTTGATAGAACAAGAAATAACACACAAATGCTGTATCAATCCTCCATAATCGGTCCCCGGGAACATCACAGTCTTCCTGCTCTCTGCCGTGCTGGCCTTGGAGACAGGCGCAGCCCAGCAAGTGACAAAAGGTTTCCTTTCTGCCTTCATAATAGCCAGGACAATACATTCTTACATTTCAGTTTTAATCATCCAAAGCTTTTCAGATGCTCCAGTGCCCGCCTTCCGCAGGACAATAGATGAGATCCAAGATTGCTAAGGGCCTTGTGTTTCTCTCCCCTTGCGGTGGATAACGTGCTGTTTCTGCCTTGTGCTGGATACCAGATGTGGAGCGGATAGCAAGAGGAGAGGAAAATAGGAAGGCTATTCACGGGAGGCTGGATTCATAGGAGAGTGGAAATAATTTCCCCAAACCAGGAAGCCTCTTTCTTAAAAAAGAGGCTCCATTCATTTCAAGTGCTGAGATAAGGCAATTTAGAATGATTTTCACCTTGGCACAAAAATCTTAAGTACAAACAGTACCATGAGAAGAGGATTGGATGGCGATTCTTGGCAGGGAGAGAGTGGGGCAGAGACAGACAAAAAAGCCCTTCCAACTCAGAAAGCTCTCCAGAGTTATAAACTGTTGTGAATTTGCTCCCACATTTGGAGACCTATAGAATTCGTGATGTGTTATTTTAAAAGAAAGCTCCTGGTTGCATTTTTCTGCATGAATAATGTAGATGAAATGAAAGCAAGACAATGGAGCCTAGAAGTAAATATTTTGACCATCAGTAAAGAAGGATCTCAATGGTTCCCAAACCTGACTGCTACTACAATCAGCTTGGTCCTCCCTATGCCGTAGGTCCTGAGGCAAGAATTCAGGGATGAGTTTGGAACTCCGTGCTTCTCACAATCTCCCTAGATTATTCTGATGCTTTGTCAGGTTTAGAGACCACAGGAGAATTCAAGTTCAGGGACAATTTTAAAATATCCGTGTATAATATTAGAGCTATATTAAAAAACGACTGAATTTCTACAGATGCTAATTTCATCCACTGCAAGGCCCTGTGTGTTCCTACCTGATGTGTGTTGACCTTTGGGGACCATCCAGCCCTTTGCTGAGCTGATGAAAACCACTGAACTCCACTCTAGAAAAAATACACAAGCCCAGACAGGTAAAACTTATACACCATTTTAGGGTGTCTACAGATTGCTGAAATCCATTTAGAGAGAAGAACCCCTGTTTGAATGATTGTCTGTGGTCTGTGAGAATTCATGGTTCTGTGACTTCCCCTTGAGTTTTAGCACTTAATGTTGGCCCATGTGTCTTCTGAAAGAAAGTTGCTACACTTCAGAGACCAGGTTTAAGAAACAACCAGACAAGTCATAGGCGATCATCCACACCACTACAGGAACCTCCTCTGTGGTCCTCTGCCTCGGGTCCTGCTCCCCTGCAGGCCATTGCCACACAACAGCCAGAGTTACATTTCCATGGTGAATCTCTGACTATACCACCCCCATGCCCAAAACCCTTCAAGGTCCTCCTGTTGCCTGAGGGGTGGTGTTCAGGTCACATCCTGCAGCGGTCCAGGGTGAGGCTTCTGCTCGGTCAACCTCCAGTTATCTTCACTGCCTTGCACCATGGCACCACCTGATGCTTTCAAAAATACCAGCGCTTGAACGCATGGGCACCAGCCCTTGACCAGTTACTGTAAGATCTCTGAGGGCAAAGAGGAGAGAATGAAGGGGGTTCTAGTATTTAAAAAGCAGAGGGAAGAGGAGGGAAGAGGAGGGGAGGGGAGAGAAGAGGAGAGGAGGGGAAGGGAGAGTCCAGGAGAGAAGGGAAGGGGAGGAAAACAACACAGGAGGTTCAGTTGTTGATGAGCGCTACGAGTCTCTGTTTCCATCCGGTTACAGGAGTTTTCCCTCTCTGCCCCGTTTCTAAGCCAACTATACCCTCCCTTATTTCTGAAATCAAAATCCCCTACTTCTCCCAGAGCTGGATTCGTTTTCCCAATGGTGTGTCCTCCGCTCATCTCTATCTGACTGCATTCTAAGTGGTTTAAAAGTACCAGGGAACTTCTGTGTTTGGGGTTTATTTTGTTTGTTTCCAGTTCTAAACCCAGCACACTAAGCAGCCACTTAAGTATTTGGTAAGAAGCAGTCCAGGCTCGGTGTGTGAGCACACTCAGGTGACACGGGAGTTTAATGGCTCCGTGATCAGAAGGCCATGTGATGCAGTGCCATGGAAACCTGACAGTGTAGGTGGGAATACTTCTGTTGGCTCAGACCAGTCTTAGAAGATGATGGCCAGAAGGGAAGACTCAACAAATCTTGATGTTCAAGCTCTTCTGTTTTTTATTATCCTAAGATTTTGTTTTGGAGGATGCTATTACTTCTTCCTGGCTTCGAAAGGAAGTTAGAAATTCTGTCCTTTGTAACCTGATAAATGTTAGTTATTTAAGTGACTGAATGGGTTAGATCTCAGTCTGCGAAACTTGGGTCTCCAGGAACAGGTGACGTGTGTGGAAGCGCGAGCTCCTGACGGCGTTTGGTCTGAGGTTGCTCTAGGAAGACAACTCGGTATTCGTTAGTCTGGGTAATTTTGTACTAATGATATCGCTTTGGACATTTTATCTTGGAATAGATAATAGTAGGGAATTTTTTTGAACGTCCCCATCTGTCAACTACTTTTGCAAAGACTTGAGATGTAGTAACTCATTTATTCTTCACAGTCCCAGGAAGAAGTTTCCATCATTATCCCCATTTTACATATGAGGAGATTTAAGCACGAAGAGGTTGTGTAACTTCTCTGAAATTATACAGCCATTGAACAGAAGAGCGAGAAGTCAGATTCCAGCATCCTGACTCCAGAGCCCACGTTCTCAGCCATTCAGAAGATGGCAGCAAGATTACCACACCGTTTGTTTTATGAACTGTGTGTTTAATCCCTGCAATGGGATTTCACATTTACAAAGAAGAAACTGAACTTTTTTCTTCTGTGCCTTGCCTAAATACAGGGTTGGCCAATTAGTTTTCTAGAGATAATTCGTCAATATGCATCTTTTCACAGGCTCTAAAAGCTATAAATAAAAGCCCGTGTTTCTGTGGCCTTAGTCTTAAATTTTCAGGCCAGAGAATGCTTTTCATTTGTCATTCACAGCAGAATGTTTCTCCTCCTTCCCAACTAGAGAGCGAGGAAAAGAAAAACAGAAGTTTAAAAAAGTAATAGACAAGAATGGAATCTACAAGTCTTTAGAAGAACAAAGATCTAAAGAGAATGCCAAATTATGTTTAGTTTTAATTTTAATATTATAATATTTTTGAGACCGTACGTACCAGGTTGCTCAGCTGGGTTCTGGGGAGCCGTCTGTGAACACAGCTGACAAGGTCAGTTGCTAATTAACAAGTAGAGACGTCCCTGAGATAACTACTGAGAGTGACAGGTGCTATGAAGAAAATAAAACAGGTGTTTTGGTGGAGGGTAACTAGACAATGGGGCTATTTTCGTTAATACTAAATGACTAAAAAAAAAGCAAGCTATAAAATGAATTATTTGGAGCTAAGAATAGTTAATGGTTTTGGTTACAAAAAAAGCATATCTCACTTTCTGTGTTGTCTTTAAGTTTTATGTGAAACTAACTTTTCATCAAACTTTAAAATTCTCTTTTTGCTTTTCATATTCTGTACTTTTAATATAAATCAATCTGACCAATTTTTCTTCCCCTTCAAATGAAGCCAGACTTGCACTTTGGGGAAATTTTATCTCTAAGATGTTTTCTACCAGTTTGTGAGTTTTTCATGGAACTCTTTCTGATTAGTGGTATTCCCAACTGTGTCAATCTAACTGGAGACCTGAGAATTGGTCTTTAATTGGACGTAAAACAAGAGAGTGAGTATCTTTGTGCAGAGATTGCTTAATTTTATTTACAGATCTGAGTTAATCCTTGAATATCACTATAATTCCACTGGAAAACAGAAAACGAAAAATGAAACTAGTGGTGTTTCGTTTTACTAAGTCACAAATTTACAGCTTATAGGACTAAACTATGGAGGAGTAAATTTGCATATTTCCATAGTTCAGTTAACATTTTTAAACTAACTATTCCAGAGTTTAAACTTGAAAAATTGAAAATAAGTCTGCTGTGGTATTTCTTATCTTCAGTTGTTTTATATCACTGTTTCCTCAGACCATGTTTATGGATCAAAACTACGCCTTTGTCAAACATTTGACACTTGAGCCACTCCCTGAAATTGAATTTCTTTCTTGAGCTGTCTATTGTGAATTCTGAATGTAGTAGGCAAACTTTTGGCTGCACACAAACACACAGCTTTCATGCTGGTCCCTGTTGGAAGATGTAGTGTTCTATATATTCCCTGTCTTTAAAATAGTAATAGCAACAATATAAACAGCCCCCACCGTGTCATATCAAGATGGAATTGTTTTCTCCAGTTCAGTGATTACAGAGTGCGTTTTGTGAGACAGCCCTTGAAAATGGCTCATAATGCTTCCATTTTTCCCTTGGACTGCAATATATTGTTGGTCATAAAACTTAACGAGTTCTGCCAAAAAACAAAATTGCAAATTGAGACTGTACGGGGATTGCCATCCAATCTGTCACTGCGTATAGTTACCAGCATTAGTTTGAGTCTATAACCAAGGCCAAGACTCTCTATTAGGCTTCTGACAGGCTGAATGCATATCGGCTTGGTAATTATGCTGTAGGATGTACAATAGTCTTGTGGTATTTTTATTGAATGCATATTGTTTGATAAACAGAGATTACCTAAATTGTCTAACGTCTGATGTACCAAAGGTCTATATAAGCACACCTTTGCAAGGTTCTTCTTTAGGAGGCAACTAGCGTTACTTCCTAAGAATTTCAGGTTGTAAGGTATAACAACAAAAATTAATATTCGTGTAGTACTTTCTAATTTAGAGCCTTTTCCTACCCACCTAATTATTTGAGTCTCACACTAATACTTGGAGGATATTTCAGGGCTCGGCCAGCAAGAGAGATGCCAAGACTTGGACCCACGATCATGGGTCAAGTGCCAAATGAGAATAAGCCCGGGCCAAGTTGTTTATCTTCAGCCTTCGAAGTTCAGAAATGCACACGGAGTTAAGGCCTTTCTAGAACTGAAGAGCGGTAAAGTTAAGTCTGAAGACTAGTTTGTGCTATGCTGGCAGGGAGCTCTGTATAGGAGGTTTTAAAGTTTTACTTATCATCTGTTTAAAAGAAAAAGAGAGAGAAAGGAAGAAAGGAAGGGAGGGAGGAAGAAAGGAAAGAAGGACTCTGTATTGCCTGTGAAATGTGAAATTGTTCCAAGCACAGGCACTTCGCATTCTGAAAGGCATGATTGTGTTTTCAAGACTTCTAGTGAGATCCCGAATTCACAGTAGGGTTTCTGACCCTTACCTGTCTCTAAACTCTCGATGCTCCCGTTTTCTCTTCTATAAACCTGCACACCCCCACGAGTGCATGTGCGCACACACGCCCATATGTAAATGAAACGTTTAAATATTATTATAAGGATTAACTGAGACAAGCTATAAAAAAAGGAGGGGTCTTTCCCTCCTCTTGTTTCCCTTTTGACGTGTACATTTTAAATCTATCCAAACTGAAATATATCTGTGCATTATTTTTGGTACCTGGGACCTTATTACAGAATTCTACTGAATTAGGAAAAGCAGATTTGACCCTACTCTGCCCTGGGACCATTGCCCTCCTGCTGCATATCCCCACACCAAACAACAGTTCTTTACATCAGGGCTGACTGGATAAATGTCACATGCCCTGTGGAGTAATCCTGCCCCGGGGTCTCTGTTTTAAATGTGACCTAATCGTGTCTGTGAATTAAAAATTATTATTATAAGAGCCTAAGAATAGTTCTTGTTTTTATAATAGGTGAACCAAATTCCAATCAGATATTACACATCAGTAACTTAGCGAGGCTGGATGTTTTTCAAAGTATAATGATTAAGAGACAATGCTTTCTGTTATCTGAATTCCTTAGGTAAATGGTAGTATCTTCAGATAAGGCAACAGTATCCATTATCATGAAAATTTTTCTATTACTGAACTGTGCAATCTTAGTTGGTCTGTTTGTACTAACTTCCGTATTCTGTAATTTCATCTAAAAACAGAATAACCTTTGCAGTTATAAAAATAACAATTGTCACTAACATTTTGAGTTCTTACCAAGTGCTAGGCACTGTCTTAAGCAATTTATGTGAATTAACTCATTTATCCTCACAACTATCCTATAGTTCTTTTTACAGATAAGGAAACCGAGGCTCAGAACAATTAAGTAACTATCCCAAAGCCTTACAACTATATTTATGACTTTCTGCAATCAATTCACTATAAAAAATGTACAACTATTATCTATGTATATTTTTGTCAGGATTCTTAACCCAGAGTCAAGATAGCAATTTTGTTCACAAGCCCTTTACAAACTCAGAGCAGTGGCTTAACCCTATGGAGCCTCCTTGACACTCAGTTTACACAATGGCATTTAAATAAGGTACTGTAGATAACCAAAGCCAGCACATTGGGAGTCGCCTCACGTGCTCCACAATCTTTATAGGAAATGAACCAGTAAGTTCAAGTTGGTCTTTTTTAAATGTAAAACATATTTTTCAGTAGCGATAGCAGTGTTGCTCGTGTGATCTCTTTCCTGGTTTTACCTTGTACCACCTTTGTAAGAAAAGAAGAAATCTGGTAATGTGTAAACTGAGTTTACTAGAGAGAAGAGGCCTTGTTTTTCTGTGTCTGATATCAAAGACGTTCTGGGCGAGACCACATCTCTTCTCACAGATGGATGCGGCTGGGCCAAGACGTTGACCCGGGGGCTGACAATTCCATAGTAAAGATCTTCTGTTCTTCTGGGGTTTCTTGTATTTGAATCTTACCTCAAAGACCCGGATGATTTACCGGCAGAAACAAGACCAGTATTCAGCTTTTCATTCCTGGTTTTGCCGTGGAGAAAGTTCTCGAAAGGCAATGTAACACTTCCCTACTGCAGTTAACGTTGGAGAAACCTTCCGACGATGCTAGAAGCTGCACCAACTCCTCAGAGTTCTTCCCCCTGCCCTGTCTGAGTGTATTTTCTTGCCTGTGAATTAGGAACAGTTCTGATCCACCGCAGTGGTGAGCTGAAAAATGGCCAAATGGCTGCAAAGTGAAGTGCTAGCACTACTATATGTTTTTATGATGAGCACCTGTCTTGAGATTTCCATGCTGCTTCAAAGGCAGCTCGTGTACTGGTAATTTTTGTCAGATCCCTCTAGAGAGCACACTGTGCCTCTAGGAATCTCACCGGGATTCCTTCAGGGCCGTGGTTCTCACACCTGAGCAGCAGCATCACCTGGAGGGCCCTGCTAGACTGCAGATGGCGGGCAGCACCTCCAATTTCTGATTCAGTAGGACTGGAGCGGGGCCCAAGAGTCTGCATTTCTCAAAACGCCCAGATGCTGCCGATCCAAGGGCCACACTTGGGAATCATCACTCCGGAGAAGGCTACGGGTTATCATGGTCATTCAGTGAGACCCGTTTTGGTGGGCCACTGCATTGAATGAAAGCCGTGGACGTGGCTTTGTCCTCTGGGAAAAGTGGATATGGACGACCAACCCTGGGATGCACTAGTTGGCAAAATGAGAGGAGTAGTTCGAAACAGAATTCATTGTAAAATATTAAATGTATATCGATACAAGTGCCTAAGCTAATGAAATAAAGACCAAAGAATGTAGGTGGGTAGGGCTGGGGCTGGAGAGGAAACTTTCTGGGCTTAAGACTATGTTATCTGTCAGCTCTTTAGCATCTGTCTAAGCAACTGTAGAAGACTATTCATCTGAGGCGAAAGACAGCAGACAACGAGGGCATAGACGAGATTCTCCCGTGAGCTGAGGCAAATGTCTTCTGGGGCAAAGGACCCATCTCTTTCTCTCTCCCTGGTAGGAAATACTCGGTTGATTATGAGAATTATAGCATCAGTGCTATCATCCAATTTAAAAAAATATTTTGGATCTGTAAAATTGTTCCATTTTTCTCAAGCTGAAAATATAAGGTTATTATCTGTTCATTTTTTCTTTATAAAAATGTTCTGGTACAAAAGTATGAAAAATGAACAGTGTGATCCTACAATCTTCTTAACCTATAGGTGCTTCTTAAGGGTAAAGTATAGTATAACAAGATTCACAAAATTTTCAAGTGGCGTCAAGTATTTTTTGATAAACTGCCCTTGTAACAATCCCTTGAACCAACATGAAAAGTTCAAAGCTCCTCTATATCTTAATATCACTTATATTCAGAATCCCTCGGGAGCAGGCAGGCAAGGTGTCATTAAACCCACTCGACAGACAGGACAAATGAGGTCCAGACTGCTTTGTATCACCCAGCAAAGCAGCGAGCAGAGTCAGTTATTACACACTTGCTTCAGACTTTCACATCCCATCTTCACTTTGAAGCCATATAGCATGTACTTCCAGAATGAAAAGTGTTCCGTTTCTGAATCATGCTGTGTAAGGTGCCAGGCTGTTTCATCCGAGCTGATCTCTGCCGGCCCTTCCTCTAGGCTGTTACCATTAGCACATTCTTACTAACTCTGCTTTCTGTTTTACCAAACTTACTTACACTTTCCTCATTTTTATAACGATATTATAAGGACTTTTTCTTCCTACAAAATTAATATATATTTATTGTAAGAATTTTAGAAAATGTTACAAATTAACATCACCTATTATCCCATCACCTAAGACAGCCACCAATGCCACTTTGTGAACATCTATCCATTTATTTTTCCATAAAATCCTGTAAGGCAGGAAATGGGATTATGCTTCTGTATATTTCTTGCCTTAGTCATATATTCGGAACTGCGTTCTGTGCTATTAAGGCCCCTTACAACCTTTCTTCTGGTAAATGCAACCGAAGTATAGCAGATGTGCAGAAAAGTAAGCAATCATCAGCGTACAGTTTGAGGAGCATTCTCGAAGTGAACATCCCCAAGAAACAGAACGTGACAGAACTCCAGAAGCCCTCTGTGCCCTCCTGCAGTCGTGAGGTACTCCCAAAGTTAAGCGCTAGTTGTTTTTGCCTCATTTTGATCTAGATGTAAATGGCATACAGTATATACTCTTTTGTCTGGCGTCTTTTGTTCAACATTGTGTTTACTAGACACATTCATGGACAAACACTTCTTAATGGCTGCAGAATATACTGTTGACTGCATAATGACTATATATATATCTATATATGTATGCACTATATAGTGACTATCAGTATAATTTAATCAAGCATGAAAGCAAAAAATGATCTTCTGTGGGACATTGAAGTGGTTTGTCACCATCATAAACAATGTTGCTATGAGCATCCCTCTTGCTTTGTTCACATTCTTATGTATTCCACAGGATAAGTTCCTGGGAATGGGAATGCTGGCTGTGAAGATATCCACAGTGTTAGGACTTTGATGAGTGTGACCAGATTGCCCTTTAGACTGGTGAAAAGGTGTTTCCACCAGCAGCCCTGAGAATGCCTGTTTCCCAGTATCTTCTCCATCACTGCATATTACAGTTTTCTTTCATCCTTAAGCTTTCTGATGATTTCTGGTTTCAGCATATTATAGCTACTAATGGCCAATATTTCCAATTCAAATCTTGAATTATTTCGGAGGGATAAGGGCCAATTTTTATTTTTTAAAGCTAAGTTTGTTCGTATATAATATGCTATTTTAATGAACTGGATTTTTGTTTGGTGCATTACTCTTCAGTTAATAACTTTTCCTAAATGTTAACAAACATCATGATATAGGATTCCTTGAATATATACAGCCTGACCTAGCTAAATATTTCACTTCTCGAATATGTATTGTTCCAGGGTGTGAAAGGAGATGTAAATACTGTGTTCTTTTTTTTTTTTTTTTTTTTTTTTTTTTTAAAGATTTTATTTTTTTCCTTTTTCTCCCCAAAGCCCCCCAGTACATAGTTGTGTATTCTTCGTTGTGGGTTCTTCTAGTTGTGGCATGTGGGACGCTGCCTCAGCGTGGTCTGATGAGCAGTGCCATGTCCGCGCCCAGGATTCGAACTAAGGAAACACTGGGCCGCCTGCAGCGGAGCGCGCGAACTTAACCACTCGGCCACGGGGCCAGCACCATAAATACTGTGTTCTTTATGCCCATATTCTAATTGCTTTCTATTCCCTTAAGTCTGGAGATTTACCAGTCTAAGTGATCATTATTGCCCCACGCTTTCATAACTTGACTGTTTTCTCCCCCTAAGTCTTTTTGGAAGCACTTTTTTGTTATTCTAAAAGTAACATGTGACTGTTTGAAAATACAGACAAGTCAGAAGAAAATGAAAATCATCTGTATTCCCTCCACCTCATTGTCTGCTTGCTGTGTCACATCGTAGTCTTGCTGACGTATGTTTATAGAACTATTTTTCACACATGAAATAATTGTACTGTACAGTTACTTTGTAACCTGCTTTCTTCCTCTTAATTTGTCATAGACCTTTTCCATCTAATCATCTCTTGATCCAAATAACATCACTCATTCACTCAGTGTGTTATGTACTTTTCTACATTCTCTCCAGAGTGTTTGTAAACACCAAGCTGTAAAGAAGGAGAGAGTTCCTTCTTCTGGTGGAATTATCTCACATCAATTGTGCCTGGTGTGGAAAGAATGCTGGGACCGAGGGACCCAGGGAGCCAGGTGAGGACATGTTTAGTGATGTAATTCTCAAGGCTTTCACCCGTCCCCTCCCCTCACTGTGCTCCCAGCACCTCTGTCCCACCAAAAGGAGACCATCACCTCCTCCTTCTTGACCTTCATGGAAATTCCAGTTTCAGCCGCCAATCTTGAATGCAGAGCTCTGCAATTTTCTTGGGTCTTTTCTAAGCAAGCGACTTCTGGGAAGCAGTCAAATGGCTACATTTGTTTCCCGGAGTGTCACGATTGTTTAAACTTCATTTATAAGTACGACGTCCTTATCATTTAGGAGTGCTGTTTCCATTCACAAGATGTATGCACTGATGGTACAATGGTTAGTTAACTAAAATAATATTTAATCACCGTATAGAACATACAGTTTTAAATTAAGTGTATTAGAATTTTGGATGGGCCCCATATTTTTGTAACAAAATGTGTGTGTGTCGGGAGGGAGCTCATTTCTGCAGTTCCACAGCCTCACAATTATTTACAGAAATATTGCTTTCTAGTTAACCTATCAGAAACCGGTGTGTATTTCAGTGTGCTATTACTGTTTGCATTTTGTATACTTGAGCAGGTCATCCGAGGAGACAATTTTTTGCACAGGATAAGCGCAGTAAGTGTTATAAAACTTGGCTTCAGCCAGGAAAAAAATATCACCCTGCAGATCAACCGTGATTTATTTACCAAGCCCAGTCCATGTTTGAGTATCTCAAAGGGCATTAAGCGTGACAATATGTGTTTGAAAAGTTTGTTGTTTTCATCCTTTGACAGAACTGAACCCACAAATCATTGGGTCCAAACCGACACTTGGGATGAAAAGTCATTGCTTTTTTCCACCAAGCCTTCTGTCCCGGCGTTGAAGCCCAGTGTGAAAGCATCCTTTTGCAGGAGCAGAGGAGCTCGGAGTCCACAGACGCCGTATATATGGACAGAAGCAAGGCTTCAGAGCCTCAAATGCTTCCAATTTTTTTCTTTTTTATTATCTGCCAGAAACTTAGTTGGAATGCTTTCCCTTTTCTTAAAATGCATTGAATTTCAGTTTAATTGTGCAAGATCCCCTTATTAAGTAATTATACACATTCTCTCATCTGTGTGTCTATATTTCAGAAGTAACTGCTTCGTTTTGTTGCAAAAACAGGAAATTAGCCAAAAAGAGGGCAATAAGACTTTATTTTCCATTTCCCTTCTTCCTCCCTAGGGGAACAGACACATCTTCGGATGCATCACAAGATAAAGATGCTGACTCAGTCTCTGAAATCATCCCCAGAGTCCACAGCACAGCCCTTAATGAGAAAGAAGTGCTTTCATTACATGAGTGAAAAATACCTTTTCCTCCTCCAAAATTGCCCTTAGTGAAATAATTCAAGACTGAGACCAAACCCTCCCATACTTATCCCAAAACACAGGGGAGGGCAAACAACACAATTTCAAAATGACAAAATAGCTACCTAGCTGGAAACAACACTTTGGAAATCTCACCAAAAATGGGAGGCTAACTGTGGTGACCACATGGAAGGAAAATGCTCGCCAACTGAAGAAAGGACAAATGCGGCAGACCCGCCGCGGAGGGAAGACGACGGAGTGGAAGTGCTTCCAACGGAGTTTACAGTGATTGCGCCCCAGTGGTGCTGACGGAGCTTTGTCTAAATAACAGTCCTTCGCATTTGTGGCTTTAAAACGCAAGCATTTTTACATCAGTTTCCTCACTCACTCCTCACAAAAACCCTGAGAAGGAGGGCAGGAAATAAATTACCTCGCCCAAATCGCAAATGTGGAACCTGCGGCTCAGGATTATTAAATGACTTGTCCAGGGTCCCATGGGGCTGGTCAGCGACACTTGACCACTGGCTCTGAATGAGCCCCGCCCTACTGCGTTTTCAACTGACTGCTAGAAAATTTTTATGTAGAAGTCCTTAGAATGTAGTAGTGACTCAGCTGTATCGTCGCAACCA